TCGAATCGTTATTTTTAGCCAAAACGATATAATTATCATTTTATATGAAAAGAAACGATATCTATGTCGTCATACACATGATTTGAATTGGAACGATTTCAAACTCGTCAAATTTGTACAAAAACGATATGAATGTCGTTACTTTATTTGAGATTTTGATACATAACAACATCATTATCGTTTCAAGACTATAAAAATTATGATGTCTGCCCTATATATATATATATATATATATATAAAATGATAATTATAAAAATAATGATTCGATCATCCACGGTCATCTGACATATATTTATCTTACGCAGGATGATAAAATAAGTCATTAAGTGAGTTCGATCTCATTCAATATAAAGAAAGATAGTATTTTCATTCGCTCTTTCTGAGTCATTCGAGTGTTATCAATTCACTTAATGCCTTCTTTTGGTCATCATATGTCGTCCTAATTATTATTTAAACTGTAAAGATTCCAAACTCGTTAAATTTGAAAAAAACGATACATATATCGTTTTAGTTATTATTTTATGCCTCGGGGAACATTTCAAAGTCGTTATTAGAATAAAAGCATTTTATAGTAGAACGACATCAACTACTTTATGTGTCACCGAAACGAAGTTCACATTCTGGATATGTACAATACGTAAACTTGAAAATTATAAAGTCACGAAAATATGTAAATTTTAATTACATTTAATATCATAGTTATAAAGTTCTAGTGTAACCACTTCTGAAACGATATATATGGCGTTATAGTTATGATTTGAACGGGAACAATATCATTGTCGTCGAAAATTATATTGAAACGAATAAATGTTGTTTACTTATTTCATGACATGCGCCTAAACCTGTTAAACAGTAAAGCAATGTGTGTTTGATATCAAAATGACATATACATCTTTTTTTGTATTTCAGGAACGAGTTCAATGTCATTATACAAATCATTTAAGCAGAGTGTATTTGATGCTGAGATGATATCGAAGTCGTTTTATGTTTCAGAAACGATTTCAATGTTATTATGCAAGTCAGTGAAACAGTGTCGGCAGTTCATTTCCATTCCACATTTTTATTAAGTTGATAAGTTATATTTTATGTTTCTTCAAATTGCAATATTTTGGTATTGGTTTATCCAAATCGACTTTTTCTCGAATCGAATAGTTCTTGTTAATTACAAGTTTTAAAATGAGTTCAATATCGATATGCCACATCGCTTTTTATCAAAATCTAATTATTAGACTCTAAATAAAATATGAATTTAAAAAATATTTTTTTGTCCATTTTTAAAAAAATATGACGATAAAATGTATTTTAAAAAATTTCGTGTGTTATAATAGGTGTCTAATGAAAAAATGACTCAGTAATTGTTTTCGACAAGTTGCTAAGTTGTGGAAATTGTTAAAACTTTGGGTGTATCGGAGATCAACTATGGAGAAGAGATGACATTAAATTTAAAAGAAGAGTTGAAATTTTAAGGAGAAGACGATTTTGAAGGAGAATATTTTTTGAATTTAAAGGAAGAGAAGGCTGTGTGTGTTGGAACATGAATGTATAGTTATTAGAACCAAGCCGATAATTGACTCGGAAAAAACCACCTGGTCAATGGTTCAACCGATAAGTTATTGTTAAATTTAAATTTTAATTAAATTTTATTTTTGAAGTGAAAAGGAAATAATTTTTTGAAATGTAATATATATATTTTGCTCACAAAAAACAAAGGACCATGACTTGGCATAATGGTTGTAGAGTTAAAATATTTTCTTGTCATCCAAGGTACAACTCACGGTTCTCTAAATTTAGAGAAAAATTTCAATCCTTTCTTCATTTTTGTTTTACAAGTTAAGGGTAAAGAAGTATTTTGACACTTAAAAATAATTAAATCTCCTCTTATTTTTATAATTTTGGTCAAAGTATAGTTGAACAAAATGTGTTTTATAAGTGGCCATCACAACTCATTTCCCCTTCTATCAACTTTTTGCTCACACATTTAATGAGTTCACCTATTTAGGGTATCTCCAATAGTGCACCAAAGCACTACAACAATTTGGTGCAACGAATAATGTTATATCAAATTTGGTGTAACAATATTCGCTTGTTTTTATTTTTGAAGTTTTTCATCATGCATATTTTACCCTTTATTTTATATTACAACAAAAATGAATTTCTATTATATAATTTTTTACCTCTTTGTATTACTAATGATTTAATTTAGTTTATATTAATTTTGCTTTAATTATTATTTTTTTAATTAATACTTATTTGTAAATTCTAATCAATTAAAAAAATAATAACTATTGAATACATTTAAATAAAACAATTCATTGTTATTATATGTAACTTTCATTGTTCGTTAAATGTAATTTTTTAATTGGTGTATTAAGTGTAATGCTTTTTTTTTTAATAAGTGTAATGTTTTAGTTCATTAAATGTGATTTTTAATTTAATAAACTTAATAATATAATTTTTAAAATAAATTAATCATTGAGAAATAAAAAACAAGAAAATAAAAGAAACACACTTAATATTTGGTGTAGTCGTTGAAAACAACTTTGTAAAATGGCGTGAAAATTGCATCAATTTGGTGAAAACTATTGAAGATGAGCTTATAATATCAATTTTTTTTAATCAAATGGACTAACTATAACTTGCAATTTATATGTTATATTTAAAATAAATAACTTATATATTTTTTACTTATACCATTAATATGAAACATTATCGTTGCTTAGTAGAAGATGAGTACTGATACTCATTAGATTATATATATATATCCATCTTTAAAATGTCTTTGGTGGGTTCTGTGGCGCCAAGAGAACGAATATAAAAATTACAATAAGAACAAGCCCTTGTACATTTGAATAAGAACACGAAAATTATAGTTTTGAATGAAGATGAAAATTGCAGTAAGAACATCAAAATATAGTACATAAAACGACTTAGCTAAAAATTGACAATTTAAATTCCCAATTCCCTCATAAAACTAGACTCACTCCCCTATATAATATAAAATGATATTTTGGATAAATAGAATGCCCTGGAACTCCAAAATAATAAATTCCCTAAAATATCGCGCAGCAATGATCTAATAAGCAATAGAAATAAAAGAATTCCCTTTTCAGAAACTCTCCCAAGCATTGATGAAATACCAGTAATTGTGTGAAAAATAAATAAGAAATCTTGAAAAACTACTAATCCATATATAGCCCTTATTGATAGTGATATTATTTTTTTAAGAATGTATGATTAAGAAGTAGAAATTTTTTTGAGTTTACATGTAGAATATTTATTGTCAAAATGTGTAACTAAAAATGAGTTCGAGAAATTCTTTTTTAGTTATAATGGTTGTTAGACAAGGGTATAATCTAAAGAAACTCCAAGCAATATTATTTTCAATTCAGACCATTCTAAACCCAATGACAATTGTCACATGGAACATAAAATTCCAAAATAAAACTACAGAACGTAAAATCCCCATTCATTTTCTATCAAGTCCAAGATACACATTACAAATAGGAGTGGACACAGTCTGATTCCGATGGAAAATAAACTTAATTGAGTATCGTTGAGAATGTTAGAAATGGTTTTCATATCTAACTATATAACTGAATCGAAATCGAACCAATTGATTTTGGTTCAGCCCGATTTGATTCTTTACATTAAACATTTATAACAACAAAGAATGAAACTACTTGTTACATTAAAAATAGAAAGAAAAAAAAAATAGAGTTCAAATCACTTCTTTTTCTTGTAATATAATGATATAAAAATTAATTAAATAAGACAACAAACATAATTACACTCCAATGCTCAATATCTATTAATAAGGGCATAAAAAAGATAAATTATTAAACACAATATAAATCGTAAAATCTGGATAAAAAATTAATTCTCAAGAAGATTCATACTATATAATATTTTAAAGAGTGCATGTAGTTTTCATAATCGATTATCTTCAATAATTTTCAAGGAAAATATCTTGATTATGATGATTGAATGTTTTGAAAATAACGAGAAATTTTAGTTGTTATGAAAGATTGAATTAAAAATATGTTTTTTCCTATTGAGGTTGCGATAAAGCTATACTTTTCTGTAGAGTATTAGAAAAATTATTTTAGATTTATATGTTGACTACTCATTTGGTTTTGCCGAAAAAGAAATAGAAAAAATTGTATGGAAAGTGAAAATTTGGTGCGAGATTTTAAAGTCTAGTGTTTAAATATTTTGTGCATATTTTTGCAATACATCAGCAAAAAAAGAAATTAGGAAGAAACGAATTAACTATTGTTCTTAAGGCAGTACTAAGAATTGAATTGAAACCGTCGATTCTTGATACATAATCCGTTCAATAAAGAAATCAGAGCCGAACCAACCAGTTTAATCCGATTCTTGAAAAATATGCCCACCCCCTAATCGCAAGTTATTTACAAGCAATCAGTCCACTATAGTCACATCCCCTGATAAGAACACAAACAGTAAGACTTTAGCTTTTCATCCACCAATCAAACCTTAAGCACTCCACTGAGTATACATTAAAAATTATCATAGTTATTTATATTTATAAATATCAGATTTTAATTAGGAGTAAAGTCTAAAATAAAATAAAAGGTCCAAAAACATTTTAATGAAGATACATATTGGTTGATAAATTTAAAGTGATATATTTTATTAAATTTAGCCCTTGTTTAAGTTTCGTTTTTTTAAAAATTCATTTTTTTAAAACTCATTTTCAATCGTACATTCTTCAATAAAATAATTTTATACTTAAATTTAAATTTTTTTTTATTTTTTAACTACACATCCTTAAAAAACTAACTCCTCAAAAATACATTTTCTCTTCAAAACGGGGCTCAAACACGAGTTTAGGAAATTAAAAATGTAATATAATTTTTATTTTTCAGAATAATGGATAGATATTAAAAATAATGTGGAGGGGACCCCCCCTGATTTACGTGTTGCCTATTTATTCGTCACTGCCACTTTTTGAATCTCAACAACAAATCACCATTTTATATACACTACTTAAGGAGAGGGGGGGAGAGAGAGAGAGAGGGAGAGAGGGTTCTTTGCCTTTAAGCAAACCTTAATACTCTAAGCAGTTACCCGTGGACGACTCAATAATCTGACAATCAAAGACCTATATTAGAGGGTCAGTATATCGAACATTTCGTCTTCTTCTATGATGATTGCTACCGTATGTTATGGATGTTTTTAACGAGCAGTTTCTTGTTCTACTTGTGTATGAAGTTTTGAAATTCTGTTCTCTTTACTACCGATTAAGGTCTGAGTTTGATTTTATGTGAAATGGTAACATACACTGAATTATAGGAGGCGATTAGTAACTGATTATATCTGCTTAGCAATGATTTGTTGTCTAAATTTATTCCCATTATGTGGGTTTAATATGAGAGGGTCTGTTTAATTTACTAAATAGGGTTTATAATTTGTTTACTGCTGGAGATGATTTGAAGACAGAGGAAATGCAATTAAGATTCTACTGTGTGAATTTGAGATAGCTTTTGATTTACTTTTTGCTAATGTTGCCTGATCTTTGGTTATAAAAAAAGGAAAAAAAAAAGATTTGTGTAAGGAGTTAATGGAATTGGATTCTGGTTGAAAAAAATTGTCATTGAATGAATTCACTACTTTGATTTTTACTGAAAATTGTTTTCTGGATGGCTGTAGTGAAGTTCTTAAATTTTATCTTGTTTTCTCTTTCATATTATAAATAAATACAATCTATTTATACAATCTCTTTCATATCACCAGCGAGCACATTGAGTAATTGGCTCTTTAACTTGTTTTGGTTCTTCTTTAAGTTCTTGCTTGCTTCATAGGTTTCATCCTATTCATTCTCTGTAACATTCACCATTTGAGAAGAGCATAACACTTTTTCTATGCCGCCTTTACTTGTTACCATTCTCATGTCATTTCCTTGTATACGCAGGGGATTTTTCTTTCATCCGAAAGTGTGAGATGTCATCTGTTGTCAGGTAGCATTATCTAGCATTCAAAATGAATGGATTTAATTTGTTGGAGATTACCCTCAGGGATATCCTTGATGTGATCAATCCCTTGAGAGAGGATTGGAATGTAAGGTTTCATATCATTCGTGAACTTCGAGCTGTTGTTGAATCCATAGAAAGTCTGAGAGGTATATGATACTTCAAAGTATGTCATTTCTTTCTCTCTGTTACTTCATTTCTGGACATCTTGGTCTAGCTTCCATAATTCTTGCAAAAACTTTCTCATAGTGTGGTACTGAAAGGAAGTGAAATAAGTTAAAGGCTTTTTGAGACCTCAATTGGGGAAAAATTGGTTAAGTCTCCAGGAGCCTAGTCCACTGCGAGGAAGAATTTGATCTTTTATGCTATGAAGTTGTAAAAGCAAATCCACTTGTCTGGGATGTCAAATTACATAGCTGTGTTTAGCAAATTTAAAAACTTTGCCATGCATGTTTCTATGTAAGTGGAAACTGTTTTGTTGATTAATGGTAAGTATTTAAAAATTGTAATGGTTACTTCTTTTGTCTCCAATTGAATGGCCTGTTATTTTTATAGTTCAATCGTGCAGCTTGTGAAGGATATATTTCATATGGATTTTTACTTGACGGTTTAATCCCAAAAACCTTCTAGATGGTTACAATTGATTTAAATAGTGTTTTTTAGGAAAGTTGCCCTCAAGCAAATATAGTGACATGGGAATCAGAAGAAGGTGCATGCAAATTACCAACAATTTGTTTTGTCAGCTAACCTATACAATCTGTCTAAAGATAGTTGACTATTGAGCTCAACATACCCAATCCTCTTCCATGCAAGTTAATGCTTTCATTCTAATGTACATGTTTCTCCTTTTCCTGTTCTATAAATCCTATGGAAAGGAAATCTCTCTTCTCGAACTTCTTCCTTCATCTATCCAATATAGTTAAATTCTGGAAATCCATGATTTACTGATGCTAGAGATGGTTCTTTTTTTTATTGTTGTTACTATCAGTATGATCATTTTATATCTGAAGATCCTAAACTGATCTCTAATTGTGGAAACTTGTAAGAATTCATAATGGATATCATTTTAAAATTAGAGATAATATGTGGGGGTTGAACCAGTAATTTTTCTCGAAGTAATATTTATTTTTGTTGCCATCATGTTCTGCTCTCTGCTCTCTAGCGGTCGATTGAAATTCTTTTCATGTTAAATAGAAATCTCCATGATTTCTTAATTTCAATAACAAAGAAAACTATATGCTCATAGTTTAAGGATTTTTGGTTAACATTTATTTATGAGTGTAAGGCTCTGACGGTGAAAACAGGTGCAACTGTGGAACCATTTGGATCTTTTGCATCTAATCTCTTCACAAGATGGGGAGATTTGGATATATCGATAGAGTTGCCTAATGGTTCATATATTTCGTCCCCTGGGAAAAAGCACAAGCAAAGTTTACTGGGAGATGTGCTAAAAGCTTTGAGAAGTAAAGGTAATTTGCTATTAATATATAATACCTCACTCTCTGTCCCTAAGCTGCATCTGCTTTTACTTCTTCTTTTTCTTTTTAATTTTCAATTTTGTTTTCGTTTTGCCTTTTGTTTCTTAAATGCTTCATTTATTCATAAATTAGATACATATTTTTCTTTGCATTTTACCTTTGTAATTTTCTTAACATCAAATCTTGCTTTCATCTTTGGAACTTGGAAGCCACTCCTCGCTACCTGAATTATGAAAATTGGGCTGTTCATCTTCACGTGATAATGTTATAATGTGGCTTTTCTGTAGATGCAGCTGTTGCATCTTCATGTGATAATGTGAAACAAGAAAGAAAATAGTTGCATCATACACATTTCTGTAAAAGAGACAAAGGTTTAAAAGAAAAGATTTCTGAAGTGATGGCTCAATGCTACCATTTACTCATGTGAACAATTAGTTTTGACTGACCATAAAATCTGAGATAGATGAGATGCTCAATGTGCCCAAAAGTAGAATATTTCTATACTGGTCTCAAAGCTGCTCATGACTCATGAGAACAATTAATTTTGATAGAGAATAAAATCTATGATAGATGAGATGCTCAATGTTTCTCCCACCAAACATATATTATGCTTTAAATATGTAACATTAGACTGAAATTAATCAAGAAAATCGGAGCCGAAGAAGATTTGTCTGTTTGGCGGGGTAAACTTAAAATTGGCAGAAAAGGCGTGTATGTGTTCAACATAAGGCCAATATAAAACTTCCTGATTGAATTTTGTCTCAATTCATTTTGCAGGTGGATGGCATAAGCTGCAATTCATTTCCAACGCTAGGGTTCCCATTTTGAAATTTGAGGGCAGAGAAAACATCTCTTGTGACATCTCAATAAACAATTTAGGTGGTCAAATGAAATCAAAACTTCTATTCTGGATCAATGAAATTGATGGACGCTTCCGTGATCTGGTTTTACTGGCAAGTTTACGTAAGATAGGAAAGATATTACTTGTTGGAGAGATATGCTGTAATATGATCATATGAATCTCTACTTGCAGGTGAAGGAATGGGCCAAAGCTCATAATATTAATGATCCAAAATCTGGAACTTTGAACTCATATACTCTTACCTTGCTTGTGGTGTTCCATCTTCAGGTACGGTTGCGTGCCATTCTTTAACCTGTAAATGATATTAGGGAGTTCTCTTTTGGGACTTCGGGTACCCCCACCCCCCAAAAAAAATAAATAAATAAAAAAATTATTAGATAAGGAAAAATAAACTCCGAGAACAGACAAGTAAAACCTAAGGGGTAAAAAGGAAAAAAATTCTTGTTGGCATAAAGTAGTATGATCGCTCAATTCTTAAACTCATTTTCAATGACATTCAAATATACATGCATGCACTTTACCAAAATTACGTGGTAAGGTTTAAATTATAAATAGATAAAAATGAGTGGTGGATAAGTGAGTAGTATTTATGGGTCCCTCGAAATGTGTGGACAAAAAGTGAATTGAGTGTTTATAAACATGAGCCAAACATAGGCTTAGTACTTTTGCCATGATATATATATTTCCCTTATGATTTGTACGTCAGGGTCATATGTATCTCTTAATACATTCATTAATTCCCAGCTTTCTAGTTTAATTCTTATCTGGTTTCTCCTGATATCTTGCAGACTTTAGAACCGGCAATTTTACCTCCTCTTAGAGAAATATATCCAGGAAATATGATTGATGACCTCACAGGTACTCTTATCTTGATTTTTAAAAAAGCATTTGCAGAAGCAGTTTATTATTTGGCATGCATTATACATAATTAAGCATGTATTTTGGCATAATAAATTTCATAGTAGATCAATGTTACATTTACACCCACGAACTTCGTCTCTCTTGGAAAGGTGTGAGAGCTGTTGCAGAGAAGCGTATTGAAGAGACATGTGCAGTACACATAAACAGAATTAAATCTGATAAATTGAGGATAATCAACAGAAGCTCTTTGTCTGAGCTCTTCATTTCCTTCCTTGCCAAGGTAACAACTTTGGTACTTCATTTCCCAAGGCAACATCTTCACTAATGTGGCGCAATTGACTGTTGTATTACCTTGAATATATTACAATAGTTGGGCAAGGTAGTTATTTCAGCAACATTGACGGGCACTTTACCTCTTTGCACCTTCAGTTTTTTGAAACTTGTTCAAGGGCTTCTGTGCAAGGCGTTAGCCCATATGCCGGACAGTGGGAAGACATTAACAGCAACATGAGATGGTTACCCAGAACTTATGCACTTTTTGTAATCTCTCTCTCTCTCTCAAACACAGTGGAGATACAAAACTACATATATGTGTTTCCGTATTAGTGACGTTGCTAATGCCTGTTAGGTTGAGGATCCCTTTGAGCAGCCGGTGAATACAGCTAGGACTGTTGGCAGTAACCAGTTGATGAAGATATCGGAAGCAGCTCGAGCAACTCACCAATTACTTGTCTCATCCAACCATAGTCGAACTTCTCTCATTATGAATCTCGTCAGGCCACAAATATCACATTTTGTGACTAGAACGCCTGTTCGACACCAAGCAACTGCACAATCTATGCCAAGAACACCTTCTAATAATTATATCAGAAAAGGAGTCGGGACTCACCAAAATGCTTCGAGAAAGCAGATTCCTGGGCAACTTCAACAGCAGTTTCAAAACAGGAGGGTTGATAACGGTCGAAATGGGACAATAATGAATGGTCAGCTCCAAAACACAAGGGTTGATAACAGTCGAAATGGGACAATGAGTGAACAGGATAAGGCGTCCCCTAGTCAAAGACATGTATGGAGGCCAGCACGTGAAAGATAAAATAGATCAAATTTGTTCTGCTTGCTCAGATATAATACCATGTGCTTGGGGCCAAGACTTATTTGGTGATGGCTTCTTATTTTGAGTCTTGTTTCTGTGTTTTAAAGAAATTAGTGACACTATATGCACTTTTTTGGAAGTTTCATTGCTTTTCTTATTTCTTGTTTTTGGGTAGTTTTAATGTATTCCGTTACTCTGATATTGATAATTAATTGTGTGTTTAAGCTGTGGCCCAATGGGTTTTAACATAATTCGAAAATTAGCCCTCGTTTGATTCCCATTAAATTCTATTATATTACATTCCATTTTTTTCTTATTTTCAACCACACAATATTTCATAAAATAATATTATACGTAAATCGAAAATTTTTCTTTCCTTTTCAATTACTCATTTTTCAAAAAAAATATTATTCTACCCATTTTCATTTCTATAAAATGGGGCCAAACGGGGGCTTATTGACAAGATGACGTATTATTTTAAAATGTTATTCTGTTAGTGGCATTGCTTGGAGAGGAAGTACGTATATTCTATTGTACGGCCGAATAAAAATTGATGTTAATTACTATAAGTTTAAGACACACGGCAAGGGATATGAAATAGTAAGGCACTCAGTACATGTTTGGTGTTACTTAAAAAGTTGATAAAAACTCAAAACCATGCTATGTGCGCTATTTGTTGACAATTAAGTTGGCAAAATTTATACCATTCATTTAAAAAAATGTTTTTAAATTAAGTGAACAAATCTTTGTCAACATATTGATTGTTACCAAAAGTCGTCAACAATCATTGTACAAATAGTTTTATTCAAAACTTAGATCATAGTCAAGAATTAATTTAATCCATTCATTTAATGAAATCACAACTTTTATTAAATCATGATAAACAATTAATTTTAACTATACATATAGCATTTGTTTGAGCTACATTATTTTCATAAGAATGCATTTTTGAATAGTGTATTGATGAAAAATATGTGGTTAAAAAACAATGAAAAGTTTTGAATTTGCGTGTAATATTATTTTATTGAAAAATGTGTATTAGAAATAATGTCAAATCACTATTTAAAAATATATATTTTTTAAAAAAATATGAGTCAAACATGACGTTACACGTTTAATCATTTTTTTTATTCAAATCTATTAAAAATTCTGATTTTCAGTTACACCATATTGGAGCTAAATTGAGTGTGATTTTTTTTTTTTTTTTTTAATTTAGTATTATTTTTCCCGTACATACAACAAGACTCAATTCAAATATTTCATGTAATAGAATTCACAAAAGAAAAAACGATCCCAAACTGCAGACACATAAGCATGTTTGAAAAGTATTTATAAATTGTTTTAAATTATAAATAGATAGAAATGAGTAATACGTAAGTGAATGACACTAGTGAATCCCTCAATATATATGTGAATTAAAGTTATTTAAATATTTATAAACATGAAAAATCAAAATCCATTTAACATTGAATCACCATTCAAATTTAAAAATCAAAAGAAATAATAGGAAAAAATCTTCATTCACTTTTCAATAAGAACCAAAATGTCACATACAGAAATTATTTGTTTGAAATGATTTCATTTACACCTAAAACATAATACATACGTACAACACAGTAGAATGAAACCATCAAATATCACAGCTCACCAGAGAGTCAGGGACAGGGCAAGATCACGCTCATATTATAAATAAAATTTCAAATCTTATGCAAGCATTAGAATTTCATTTCATAGTGAGTAAAGAACCATGAAGATAAACTAATATAAAAACTGTATGGAAAACTAGAATTCAATGGTACATTTTCGGTCATATTTCACTGCATTTATGCAATGCCATGCAATCACAACACTATAACCGCCTACGCAGACGCCTGCCGTTAGGATTTAAAGATTCGACCACACCACCATCAGCCGCCAGATCTAACCCAAAGATACTGCTGCCAATTCTTTTCTTATTCGGCATAAGCTTTGAATTCTCATCCACTGATGCAACTGTTTCCAGGAGCTCAGATAACAGTGAGGGGCAGCTCTGTTCCAAGTGTTTGAATCCTTCTGAATGCATCACCACTACAGCAACATCAACGGATTAGCAAATAGATAAATCAAATGGAAGATCCTACTGACAATAGTTTTCAGTTCAACAAAAAGGAAACCATCAATCTGGAGAAATCCATTCATGGTACTGTTCATCAGTGAATATACCATATTATTCTTGAATGCTAGTTGCCAACCAAAAAAGAAAAGGTTTTCCACGCTATTGCAAACAGTCACACGTCAATATTTTTGTCAAGCAAACTGGTTTTAACTTATACCCAGTAAAACTGGCTTTTTAATATTAATAAAACACTGCCAAACAGTTCAGCCATGCTTCATCAAATTCCTTCTATTAGGAAGATGAATACGGTAGGCAGTACAAACTTTTAGAAAGGTACTGCTGCTGCTGTTTTAGTTGAGGGCTCGTTAAAATTAAATAATAATGGAATACAACATTGCCTACCTCCTCGACTTTTGTCCTCTACAAAAAAAGCCTAATACTCTAATGGCAATTGCGAATGCAGAAAAGATTTTGTTGAAGACAATATTTAAATGACATATATGTGGCCATACCTAAGAGCTCAAGCTTTTAGATCAACTAGTTCAACATAATATACAAGCAAGCAAAGGATTCAAGTCTCACCACCACCCATTTAAATGAATTGTGCATGTTAACAGCCTAAATGTGAAGTGAGTGGGCATGTTGAACTCCACCTATGCAGTACCCATTTAAACTAACTGTGCATGTACTGACAGGAAAAAAGGAACCCCACCTACATGTGAGGGGTGTGTTGAAGACAATATTTAAATAATATAAATGTGGTTCTATCCAACGGCTTAAGCTTTAGATCAACCGGTTCAACAAATCTTACAGACTAAACTGAATTATAAAATAATATTTCCCCAGCCTTCCTACTACTTTGTCTTCCCTGCTAACCACCACGACATTCCCCAAAGAAAAAAGAAAAAGGAATAAGATAGAAGAAGAAAACTTGATCAAACCGACTTCATTGTTCACTCTCCTCTCCAGTACTAAATTAACCATTCACAATTATTTAAATACACCCATTGACAAGAAAAATCGCGATGTTTTTTTATACAATAGTTATTAGTTCTTCAACATTTTTCAGATCTTGAGAACTAGAGAATCATAATTCATAAACATCCCCCTTGGTGACCACATGCATTCAATAGGAACAAGATTATACCTGCAGATAACAGACAAGAACTATAAATAAAATAACTTGAAACATTGCACCCCTCAGATCTATGGACTTCACGTACCTCCCAAGTTTGTTGCTGCAAATTTCAGACATACAACCTTGAGCTGTGGACAGTGATGCTGTTCTGCCAGGGAAAGAGTGGTCGCCACTGTATCAGCACTAACCTCTTCACACAATTTTGCTTCACATAACTGTTTCAACCTTTCTAAACAAAATCGTTCAGAAGCAACCAATAAATGCTGCAACATGATTGCAGAAGTACACGTAGACGTTGAGCCAGTAGTTTCTTGTAAATCGACAAGTTTGTCAGTGTAGATAAAATGGAGCATTGCCTGCAGAACGATTTAAGCCTACATAAATCAACTGGGCCAAATATGATAAAAGTGGAACAAGCAGGGCTGTTTCTGCCATTTCTTAGTGATTAATCAAGCTTAAGATAGAACCAAGTCTGATGTTGCTAAAAAATGTGTAAAATTACTTGGTAAATAAAAAAAGAAAGCAAAAGAATTAAAAGAGATAAAGAACTATCTTTCGGTCATTAACGCATTCTGATGAATATAAAGAACTTTCAAGTTTCCCACCAGCCTACTACCTGTTGGACAACCACATCTCCGTCTAACCTTTTAATAACCACTGCACAGACCCTAATAACGAGCTATTCAAGGTCCCTCTACTTAACACAATATTGAACACTTATTCCCTACTGTAACAGCAAAAATATGTGAAGAAGAGCTGCTTTAAATAAGGTCATTCTATAACATAAAAAGAATTTGTTAAAAAACCTAAAGATGCTCATTAACTTTCACAAATGCCAGCAGAATTCAGTCTCCTAGAGTCACCTCATTTTGACACAGTGCACCAATTGTAACAATTGTGCCATGCAGAGGGATAATTCTGACACAGAATAGCAAAAACCTTCTATGGACCGATGGGAATTTCATTTGAACTCTTGAATGAGAATGCACATCCTGATTATCAATTTAACGAACAACAGTGTTCAATATCAAGGAAGAAAAATAGAAATATCACCTTGAAGATACAAGATTCAATATCCTCGAGCTCTACTTTATCAGTATTAGGATTTCCAACAAGCCCAAAAAATTGGGCTCTAAACACGGGAGATCGAGTAGCAAGTATCAACTTATGAGCTTTAAATGTCTCTTCCCCAACCTGGAAAACTATATCGCATCCAAGTTCAGAATCAAGCAGGTACTTGAAATTTTCACCTATGTCTGATGGCGGGACAGGAACACTATACAATTTGGGTCCCTCAATACGAGTTCTTACAACTCCCACAGTGCAACTCATAGCAAGACAATCGTCCTTTAAAAAATCAGAAGTTTCTAAAGTAGTCCTTCTGAAAAATCTTTTGTAACCCCTGAAAAACAAGCAACAGATAAACATTGGGGCAGCAGAATGAAGGTTCTCACACTATATGTTGCAAAAGTAAATTTAAATATATCAAATGTATTATATTAGGATATCAGCCGGGGTCTTCCTTCTACTCATCACTATTCTTCCATACTCTCAGTTCACTCCTTATATTTGAGAAAGAAAAAGAATCTGCTGGAAACTACAAAATCAAATCCTAGTCCAATGTTACAACACTTTTAGCTCAATCAACCTACACCAAATTGAAACCCCGAAACCAAATCCCATTCCAATAATACAAAACTTTTAGCTCCATCAAACCGTACAAAGTTGAAAATTTAAGCAACAATTTTTGGTTGCAACTACCTTTTACTTATAGTTAAAGAATGATCAGCTGATATAAATAAGCTAGGCACAAGAAAAAAATTGTTTTGCCGTTTAAGATTAGTTTTATCAAAATCTACTTTACTTACTAAAATTAACTTGCTAGTAGAAGTAGTAGTCCCTTTTTCGGATTTAATTTAATTCCCCAAGTCAATAAGACGTGCAAATATTATTGATAATTAATGAGACAAAAATTATTGGACGAAAAATATTTGCATAATCAATTGACAATTTTACGTAATTTAGTTCATTTCCAAAAACCCCAAAACCCAAATTCAGGAAATTACTCACACTTCAGAATTACAAATATCAAAGACACAAATAAAATCAGCAATCAGCAAACCCTCGAGATACGTACCACATGCTTCCCCTATATTTAAGAGTGTAAGGCCCACTCTCGAGGGCCCTATCAAAATGGCTATGCACCTTGTGCTTCCCTTTCCCACTCTTGTCCAATAGCGTCAATTCAAATAGCGCCCTCACATCAGTACCCTCACTAGCAAGCGCAATAAAGACCGATACATACATGGAAGAATCATCGGGGTTCTTCCCATCTGGGTAGAAGTAAATTGCCCATTCGTAGCCACCTACGCTGAAGGTGTCAGATTGAATGTATTTCCCTGGCCCCATGCCCTTAGCCAAGGAGTAGCCGCGGATGGTGAAGTGGTGGGATCCATTAACTGTTTCGTTCACGGATTTCGATGATGAGATGTCGAGGGAATTGGGTCCCGGATCGCTGGAGTTCACGATCATTTCATTGGGAGGGAAAACACAAAGGCAGAGTGAATTTGGAATCTGTGAAGTGGAAAAGAGTGAAAAATATTTTACACTATGGATTTATAGGGAAAATTTGTTGAGTGGAATTTTGGGGTTGGTGTTTGGGATTTACAGGGAGAAGGGAAGGAAAAATGGAGGGGATGATGAGTAATGATTGGTTAAACGGATGTGACTATTGTGGATGGATTATGAATATTAACGTTAAAAAACTGTATTTCGGATCCATGTTGGAATTTAAAAATAGTTAAGGTAATTAATTACTTATTAATCATTAAAAATATTCCCTCCTCTTATGAAGAAAGACATGGTTTGTTTTTTCGTTTATCCCAAATTATAAATCATTCTCCTTGTGTCTAGTAGATTTCTTAATTTTTTAATATATCCTCTACCCGATATGTCTTATTATCAATAAATATGAATTGCCCATATTTAAATGAATAATTCTAAACGAACATAGCCGACGACTTAAAGGATGACATAGCATTCACATAAAATGTGTGGGCCCTGAGGTGAATAAAAAAATGCCGACCCCATGTGTGAGGGTTATGTCAACTTTAATGTCATCCTCTATGTTCATCTAGTAAGGCTCTATTTAAATTAGGGAAAATTGCAACAACGGTTCCAAACCTTTTCAATATTTGCAGACTTTATCCTAATATTCATTTTGTGCCAACGAAGGTCCCAAACCTTTTATAAATATGCAGCCGAAGTCCAGATGGATGGAATCCATCCATTTCACCATTAGTTGACCAAAGAACTGACTTTGACTCCAATTTTGACCATATTAGTAAGGGCAAAATAGTAACTTGCATATTATCCCATTAATTAAATAAGTTAAATAGATAAACCATAATTTTTTTTTAAAAAGAAGAAGAAATAAAAAAAATGGGGGCATCTTCTTCTTCTTCCCCCTACCTCACCCCACCCTATCCCGAACCACCGTCCCGGAAATGAACCTGTTATCCAAACCACCGACGACTCCCGCATGACTTTACCACCAACCCACTTCCGACATTATTCCTCACCTGAATCCCGAATCTCGACTCCACCAACCCACTTTCAGCTTTACCACCAACCCTAAACTCGCTTTCGACATTATAACACAAAAACACCAGATCTGCCAAATTTTATACTATTTTAATAACAACCGATTCTCAAGACTTGAAGCCCAACAAGAACCTATTGTTCAAATTTATCAAAACCCAACCCAAAATGAAGATCTATGAGTTAATCTCTCACCATGCACGACAGAAGATTTGGATTAAAAGGGAAAAAATCAGAATAAATAAAAGGAAAAATTGGACAAGAATTGGGCTTTTGGGTGGGATGGAGGTGGAGGTGGAAGCGAGAGTGGGGGTGTGGTATTGAGTTGGAGAAAGAAGGTTGGAGTGGGGGATGGTGGTGGCCGGTGGATGGCAGATGGCACCACTGACGATGGCGTGTTGCAATTTGGATTGTTGGGGGGGGGGGGGGGGAAGATGATGCCCACATTTTCTTTCTTTCATTTTTTTTATGGTTTATCTATTTAACTTATTTAATTAATGGGATAATATGCAAGTTACTATTTTGCCCTTATTAATATGGTCAAAATTGGAGTCAAAGTCAGTTCTTTGGTCAACTAACGGTGAAATTGATGGATTCCATCCATCTGGATTTCGGCTACATATTCATGAAAGGTTTGGGACCTTCGCTGGCACAAAATGAAGGTTATGATAAAGTTTGCAATTATTGAAAAGGTTTGGGACTGCTGCTACAATTTTCCCTTTAAATTATTATTCAATATAGGGATATATTTTTTTAAAAATATAATAGAAATTATACTTTAATTATATTAATTACCTTTTTTTAATTGTGCGAAAATAAAAACAAACATATCTTTATAGGAAGAAAGTAATAAATATTTAAGATTTAAGTTTGATATAGATCGTGTATTTATGCACCTGGTTGACAATCATTATTTGTCAAAAAAAAAAAAAGATTTAAATAGTAACTTTTAGGAGAATTTACGATTAAAAGTGAAAAAAAAATTGAATTTACGTGTAAAATATTTTATTATGTAAATGTGTTATTGAAAATGAGTATGTTAAAAACTAGAACAGAAAACTAATTGTACAAACATGGTTGTGTCAACCTTGGTTGACAACAAAAAGAGCAATAAAACTAGTTGTACAAACATGGGTGTGTCAACCTTGGTTGACAACCCATGTATTGTCAAAATTCGAACATTTGATATAAAAATAATTTTTAAAATGGATGAATGTAATACTATAAACTAGAATGTTGTCAATCAATGTTTGTACATATAGTATGACTCAAAAATTAGTTGAAAATAATGATTTTCTAATAGTGACTGTATATAAACTCTACACGCATCCATTGTTGCCTCAAAGTTCTGAAAAATTAAAGGGTAATTAGCACAAAACGTTTTTACGTTACAATGTGATTGTGCAAAACGTCACTACATTTCATTTTTTGGTACTTTTATCCTTACATTCACCGTTTATTGCGAAAATCATCATTTTCATCAATTTTCACGTGTAAAATGACAAATACACCCCCTATTTAAATAAAACAACAAAAAGAAAATAAAATAAAAGTTAAAGAATAAATTGAAATCGTACTCCCAAACTTTTCATTATTATTATGCAAAACATCCATACCTTTTATTTTTTGACATTTTCACCATTATTTCATATTTCATTGCGAAAATCATTATTTTCATTCATTTTCTAAATTAAAAGTACTATATTTTCAAATTTTTTAAAAAAAGTACAAATAAATTTCAATTAAATAATTAAAAAAGAAATTGATTTTTATTTTTTTAATTGTTTATTTAAAGTTTATTTGTCTTTTTAAAAAAACATTTGGGAGTATGGTTACAATTTGTTCTTTATTTTTATTTATTTAAAGAGAAGGATATATTTGTTATTTTCATAGCTTTTAATAGAGAAAATTGATGAAAATAATGATTTTTGCAATGAAATATAAAAAAAGGGTTAAAATGTCAAATAATGAAAGGTATGAACATTTTGCATAATAATAATGAAAGGTATGAACATTTGTACTAATTACCATTTTAATAATTTATTTGGACCCATTTGCACTTTTTAAAAAAGCTTGGTAGTATGATTACAATTTTTTCTTTTCTTTTATATTGTTTTATTTAAATAGGGGGTATATCTGTCATTTTACACAAGAAAATTGATGAAAATAATGATTTTCGCGATAAAAGGTGAAGGTAAAAGTAAATGTGCCAAAAAATGAAATGTATGGACGTTTTACACAATAACATTGAAAAGTAATGACGTTTTATGCTAATTATCCAAAATTAAAATCATAAGTTGAGGACCAATAAGACAATTTTTTCATTTATGGAAACACAACAACACATCAATAGAACAATTAAGTCCATACTTGATTTAATTAAAAATTGATAAAAATTTAAATCAAATTCAATAATTAATTTTAATTACATCATTCAGGGACTCACAATTTTATTAACTTTTCAATATTATATTTCATTAATTTTTATCAAAATCAACTAGAATCAGATTTTTTTTAGCAAAAGCAAACAAAATGTTAAATTTTTGAAAAATAGTAAACCAGTGTTTGGACTTCATTTTAATGAGATTTTTAGAAAAATGTATTTTGAAATAGTAGGATCCATTTGATTTGTCTTTCAATTTTTAGTTTTCTATTTTGAGTATTCGTTATAAGATTGCTAAAAATTCGTTTGGTTTGTCATTTTAAAAAATTATTTCGCAAAATAGAAAATTACAAAACATGGTTGATTTGAAAATTTCAAAAACTATTTTATGACATTTATTTCGTGATATTTGATTATTCCACAAAAATAAAACAATTTTATGTTAATAACTTATCAAATAATATATACATATTAAAGTTAGTGAATATTACAAATTTTTTTTCACTACAAAATAAAAATAAATAATAAACTAAATTTAAAATATAGGAAATAAAAACAAAAACTAATGATGTAGACTAAGAATATTTTTATCTTGTATATTTATATCTTTCATGTAAATAATCATTATGATCTTGAACTATTTTTGTTCATATTTCACAATTTCATTTTTTCTATAATTTTTTATATTTTATATTTTTAGAGTTTAATTTTTTTAGAATTTTAGAATTAATTTTTTTAATATTTTATTTTTCAGAATTTATCCCTTTTATTTTTTGATTTTATTTTTCTTGAATTTTTTTAAAAATTTTTAAATTTTATTTGCTAGAATTTATATTTTTAAATTTTTATTTAAATAAAATTATATTTAAACGCTTATTTTTCATATTTTGATTATTTTTAGAATTTTCACTTAAAACATTTAAAATATAAAAAATGAGTTTTGAGTTTCATGTTATAAGCTTATCCTTATTTATTTTTCAGATATACTAGACAAAACACATTTGTATTGTTTTGCAAAACTAAAAACGACTTAAAAACAACAAATCACGACCTGGATGTAGGCACATTTTCAGGCACACGAAGGCAGCACGGTATGTAGGCCATGTTCGGGACGACGCGGATCCTCCAAAAAGCACTCATAATTTTTTGGAGAATGTGTGATTAAAAAAATTATTTTTACGTGTAATATAATTTTATTGAAGAATATGTATTTGAAAAAAAAAAGTGTATTAAAATTAAAAAATGGAACCCAAACATGGATTTAATGTATGAGATTTAAGTTTGATATTGGTCGTGTATTTAACATAAACCAACACTTCTAGCACCCAAGTTTATAGTTTAGGACTCGTTTGATTGCATGGTACATGGAATAGTACTTATTTAATAATGTTTTTCTACATTTTTACTACTCTTATTGCCTTGTTGCTTTCTAGAGATCAGGTTTATATTCCCTCATTCCTTGTATTCCCACTTTTTTGATGATATAAATATGGTTAGGGAATTCTTAACTCTCATTGATTTTCCTTGATGAAGCCTAAAAACTCACTAAAGATATGTGAATGTTTTTGTAAAGAAAAAAAAAACTACTTGCACCCATCGTTGTTCACAAAGCTCCCAAATTCAAACGGGTGACCAATGATGCTATGGAATAGAAAATTAAAGATGACGTAGTTCAAAAAGGTTAAAACTCAATTTGTTACTAAAATCGTAAGTTGGGGAAAAATAGGGCAATTTTCCCTTT